CCAAATGGATCGTGGGGAAGGTGATTGGTACAGCAATGAAAAAAACTGCTAAAGTGAGAGTGACCAGACTTGTTCTGGATCCCTACTTATTAAAGGTGAGGAGCATACAGTTTTCAGATGACATTGATAAAGCACCAAGTCTTAGTTTCTGAGAAAAAAATAAATAAATACACTTTCCCCTTCAGTAAAGAGTTTTTGTGCATCTGCTGCAAGCAAGAGACTGACCTGTTCTGTGAGTGAGGCATGGCTTGTGCATTTGAGGACGAGTTGATTTTGAGACAATCTGTTAACTGGTCTACTTAGTCTGCATGCAAAGCACTGTGGGAAGGGAGAACAGGACACTTTCAGACACAAAAGAGCATCTTTGCTTAGGAGGTATTTGAGCTGAAGCTTTTACCCAGAGAACTAGATGGAGAATAGCCATTCCAACTATGATGAGAAGTACATGAAAGTTCACTTACCTGTGACGGGGAATGGCATGCTACCAAACAGCAAGGGGTTTGGCAAGATAGAGCCCAGAGCTTAGCACTCTCGTTGAATAAATGTAAAGACAGGTGGAGCTGACTGTGAAGGGTCTTCAGTGTTTTGGATTTCCTCTGTTAATTAAAGGAAAGACAGACTTGGAGACGTAAGTCGGATGAGCACTAGAGGGAAGGAGGACATCACAAAAGTCTGGGATGGAGAGGATAGGGACCTGAACTAAGGTTAGAGCTCTGCAGATGGAGTGGGAAAAGGTGGACTCCAGGTAGAAGAGACAGTCACTGACTTGTTAGATGAATGAAGGTGATTTCTGCACTTGGGGATGAGTTTGAAGGTAGTTAGAAGTGCTGCTTATCCAGCAGCAGGAACACAAGTGAGAGTGATGATGACTAGAATGGTGGTTGGACCTTGGCCTTAGGGGGCCTTTCCCTGAGTGCTGACTCTCCTTCATCAGCTGTGTATAAAGCTGACCTCTTAAGCCTGGTTTTATCATCTGTAAAATGGAAACCAAATGCAGTAAGATTATGAAAAATGAAGTGTTTCAGGAATTTAGTTCAGTGTGCGGCATCTGCCTGGCAAGTGTGAGGTCCTGAGTTTGGTTGCCTGTACCCCCCCCCCCCGAAAAAAAGGGGAAAATAGGTGATTCTAGTTACCATCTGTGGGTTCTTAGTGATTCTTTGAGAAGGCATAGAGCTAAGTGTTTTATGTACATTGTGTCATTTAGCTCTAGAATCTTCTTTTATGGTGGGAAGAAACCCAGCATGGATCCACACAGCTAATGGAGTGTAGTGTGCCTATAGGCTGGACAGAAGGCTTCAGTGGGCAGAGAGAATTTAGGGTCAGATGACAATTGATAGAGCAGTTATACTGCGGGGAAGGGACTAGAGAGCTCGGGGTGAGATGCATTCTGGGAAAAGTCATTGCTGTGCTGTTTGACTCGGTTTGGTTTTTGAGACAGCGACTCACTCTGCAGTTCAGGCTGGCTTTGAACTCACTCTTATTCAGGCTGGCCTTCAACTCACTTTGTAGCCCTGACTGGCTTCAAAGTTGCGGTGCTCCTCCTGCCTCAGCCTCCTAAGTGCTGGGAATAGAGGCATGTGCCGCTACTCCTGGCCTGCTTTTCTAAAAATTAAGCAGCTAATTTGTGTACTAGAGGTTTCCTTAAGTATCTTCCCAAGCCCTGGCTTTTCTGTCCATCAGTTTTTGATATTCTGTACTGCGTTGCCCAGTCAGAGCTGGGAACTATTGATTTGTTCCTCTCCTTCCCTCAACAGTATTTTAATAAGCGGAAAACCTACTTTGCTCATGACGCCCTTCAGCAGTGCACTGTTGGAGATATTGTACTTCTCAAAGCTTTACCTGTTCCA